AATCAACAAATGGCATGGGTTAAAATTTTGTGTTCCCTCCTGTTAATTTTTGTGTTCCCAGAACGGTCTCTCCTGTTCATAAAAAGTAATTATTCTGTTAAACAAATTATTTAAAAATGAGTCTTTTACCATATATGTCTGTCAGATGGCAAAAATATGTTTTTACAAGTTTTTACATTTACAAAGAAAAAACAGGAATTCTTAGTTGTTCATTACAACAAGTTTAATTGCGAATTAGTCTTTTGCCATATATGTCTATTGATTTTTATCAGTTATGGCAACTTAGAATATGGTGAAAATATGTTTTACAAATTATGAAAAGTTTAATTGCGAATTACAAAGAAAAAAACAGGAATTCTTAATTATTCATTACAACAAGTTTAATTACGAATTAATCTTTTGCCATAATATGTCTATTGATTTTTATCAGTTATGGCAACTTAGAATATGTCAAAAATATGTTTTACAGGTTATGAAAAGTTTAATTGCGAATTACAAAGAAAAAAACAGTAATAAAAATTCAATCCTTAAGCAGTTTTTCTAGTAATTTTCAGGATTTTTTTTAAAGGAAAGGTTCATGTATTTTAAATTTAATATTTAAACTTGCTGATATTAAAATTTCAAATTAAAAATTAAAAAAATTAAAAAATTAAAAATTTTTTTAAAATTTTAAATTTAAAATTTAATATCAGATAATTTAAAAAAAAAATAATTTTTTTTTAAAAAATGAGCAATGTATACGTTTTCCAGCAGCAGGAACAACAACAACAACAACCACCTTCACAACCATCATCATCTATATTGCCACCACCTGCTCTCCCTCGTTCCAGTGCTCCTCGTTCCAGTGCTCCTCGTTCCAGTGCTCCTCGTTCCAATGCTCCTCGTTCCAATGCTCCTCATACCCGCGTTGCTGCTTCTCCTACAAACCAGGAGTTACTAAGTCAATTACAACAGCAACAGCAACAACATCAACAGCAACAACAAATACATCAACAACAATTACAACAAATGCAGCAACAACTACAACAAGTACAGGAACAACAACAACAACAACAACAACATGAACAACAACAACAGCAACAACTACAACTACAACAACACCAACTACAACAACAAGAACATCGCATACAACAACAAGAAAATCGCCTACAACAACTAGAACATTGCCTACAACAACAAGAACATCAACACGAACGACTCCAACAACAACAACAACAACATAGACATGAGTTAATTCGAATTTATTATGTACTTGCTGCATTTTTTTTTTCATTATTTTATCAATAAATTTATATTTTTATTATTAAGAATGATTTGGGATGTTAAACTCACACAATCTATGAAAGATTTTTGCAAAAGACTTATAAACCCCATGTCTTTGCACATGTACATATTTATGTTTTTACCAAAATATACATTGATTTTTATTATTTACTGAAAATAAGAATGATTCGGGATGTTAAACCCACACAACCTATAAAGGATTTTGGCAAAAGACTTGTAAATACCCATCTCTTTGTACATGTACATACTTACATTTTTACCAAAATATACATTGAGTTTTATTATTTACTGAAAAATAAGAATGATTCAGGATGTTAAACCCACACAACCTATAAAGGATTTTTGCAAAAGACTTGTAAATGCCCATCTCTTTGCACATGTACATATTTACGTTTTCACCAAAATATACATTGAGTTTTATTATTTACTGAAAAATAAGAATGATTCGGGATGTTAAACTCACACAACCTATAAAGGATTTTTGCAAAAGACTTGTAAATGCCCATCTCTTTGCACATGTACATATTTATGTTTTCACCAAAATATACATTGAGTTTTATTATTTACTGAAAAATAAGAATGATTTGGGATGTTAAACTCACACAATCTATGAAAGGATTTTTGCAATCGACCTGTTACCCACGTCTTCGCACATGAATATATATGCGCATAATTGTGCTCTGTGAGTATTGAACTCGCTACCAATTCACATTTGGATGAGAAATAACAATAATCGCAAATTTTCCCCTATTGCTTTTTCAAATTTTATAATGTGATTTTATCTCTGTTAACAATGAGTTATTTATAAAAATCACAGCCGAAACTTATGGCCAAAATCTATATATATATAATTGCAACAATTCATTGATTATAACCTTCAAATAATTTAATTGATAAATTCTAAAAATAACTAATAC